CGAAACATTTTTGAGAGAAAGTAATTTTAGAATCTAAAAATAGTTTTCCCTTCTAAAAATAAATGAAGCAATTTAAAATATTTGGTTCTTTTTAGCTTAATCTTAGAGAACGGTCTTAATAACGTCGTATTATAGCGTTTCGTTTGTAGCCTAGAGAAACATTACGGCATGTCTTTTTTTGTATTTTGATTGTTTGCCAACACAGGAAATGACCACAGACAGTTAGTGCTTATTTCTTAGAAAATTTATAGCTTTTCTCCGCCTTTAGAGTCACGTGTGACGGCAGCAATAAAGTCACAATGGCTTTAAACAGAAGTGCTGGCAAATATACAAAAATATGCAGCAACGAAAACTCATTTTAAAATTTTTATCACAGCAATTAGAATGACTTTATGCATTTATAATGTGTAATTTATTTCTCTAACTGAAAGATTAAGAGTCATTCAAAATTTATTTGACAATTTAATGCAACTTATTAGAGTATAAATGTATGTGACTTGGTAGATATTTAAACTTAAATTAGTATAGTAATTAAAGCTAATAACATAAGCAATTTTTTAAAAAAAAAATGGAAACGTGCATTAGTGTTGAATGTTTATGCACTTAATTTTGATAATGTGTTATTATTGTTTGGAACATATATTTTCGAAAGTATAAGTTACAAAAGAATCTTATTAAAGAGTGTGAAAATAATTACACCGGAGAAAACATATTTTGTAAACAGTTCTTAAAGTGTTATATACATGAAAGAATCATACCACAGGGTGCTGCAATTTGTAATGCTTTTTTATTTTTCTTATGTTTTTAAAATGAATGTTTATTTCAATTAAAATATTTATAAATATGATTCCTGCAGCTTTTTTTTTAATATTTTCTAAATTTCGCTGCCATATTGTCGTGTATTTATGTATTCTCTCAGAATAATGATAAATTTTATTTTTTTTTAAAATTTCATATTTTAATTTCCGAATTGCGCCCGAAATCAAAGTTTGTTCCGAACGATTAACGATAATTAGACTGTGATGCCATAATAGGCATGACATATTTCCCAGCTTTTTCAAACTTCTCTAATTTTTTAAACCTATTTTTTTAGTCATTCTTAATTGAATTTTAATAAAATTAAACAAATTATTTAATTTTTATTCCATTTTCCAAAAAGCTAATATAAATATTTTCTTCTATTTTTTTTCTTCTAATGTAAAGCTGTTTTCTTATTTAAATGCAAATGTAAAATTCAATCATTCACTGTCATGACTAAATCAAAAAAAAAAACTATTTATAACTCTTTATTATTTATTTCTTACCATAAAAATATTTCAGTTACATGGTTATACTAATTCTCACAATCTTTTTGGCAATTCGCTTTTACCAAATTATTTTCAAGTTAAATAATTTTTACGGGGTGTTGGCTTTATATTTGGCTATATTATCTTTTAAAAAAATCGCCTACCATGGATCTCTTTCCATGCTTTTAACTGTCCATTTTTAATTTCCCATTTTTCTCTAACGGACTGGGAACTTCGGCCTCTCAGTTCCAACAGTTGAAATTTCACATCTTTACAGAAATTTTGGATGTTAACAAATATGATTCTCTGGATACTTTCAAGGGACTTTTTCTTCTTGATTTTTTAATTTTGAAATATGGTCATGTTTATTATAATATTTACACTATAAATTAATTTTTCTGAAATTAATTTCTTTATTTTTCTGTAGTTTCTTTATTTTGATGTAACTCTAACGACCAAAAATTTTACTTAAATTCTACAAGGAAGCTATATCCACAATTGAAATGAATTTTGACTGAAACTGGAATGAAAGAGACTATTGAAAAAACTCATTTAGTTTAAAGAAGAAAAAAAAGATAGTAAATGATATATTTTTTAAATATTGTATCTCTTACTATCTTAAAATTTACATTATGATTTTTCTTCCTTTTCTTCTTCCATTTTTGCATTTAGTTTGGTTCTCTGTTACCATGAATGTTTGATTTTCCATAAAATTCCATAATTAACAAAAATTTCATAAACTTCGTAAATTTTTATTCGGCTTTTAATATAATTTTTAAAAAATCCACTTTTTATAATACGACTACAACACTTACAAGATTTTGAAGGGACAACCTTCTATTAGACACCACATTAGAAATATTGCTTTAAAACGTTAAAGAGTTAGTTAAAAACGTAAAGTTCCAATTTTGAAACATTTGCTTTTAAAGGGTATTATTTTTAGATTTCAAGTTCAAGTAATGGATGTTGTGTGTATTTGATTCAATAGGTACTTTGACACTTATTTAATGATGTTTGAATTGAAAAATGTACATATTTAGTATCAACTTCTTTTGACATGAATTTCTGGTGGTTGAATTTGAGTGACGGAAAACGTAAAAAGTAAATAAAATATGCACTCTTTCATACTTAATGTTTTTCCCCTTAGTTGAGGTTTCAACTATGTTAAAAAAATTCTTTCTGATTAAAAATAGTTTTCAGGAGGGTGTTATAGGGGAGAGTCGGGTAGCCCCGCCCACTTAAGGAGTATTGCTTATATTTCTGTATAATACTGAGTAATAATCCAATATTTTTGTGTGTTTCTATTGTTTTATCATCTAATTAAATAATACAAAAAGAATGAACCAAAAAAAGAATAGTTTAAATTAAAAAAAATAGAAAATTAAAAAATTTGACTACTGTATTCAACATAGTTTCAAAATTATTGTTTACCATGTTACCAGCTGCATAAATACATGAAACTTTGAAAATAATCTTTTTTTAATATAACAATTAATGTCCGATGGCCCATTGACTTGAAAAAATATTCTATACATAGGAAATTGACAGTGGGCGGAGATACCCGACACGCCCTACTATTTTTTTACATTATTTGACAACAATGGAGTTAAAATTTAACATCAACATATTTTTCAATTGGTTTCCAACAATGGTATTGAACAAAAGCTATTGATCTTTTTTCGTTCGTATTCTCGTTATTTATTTAACTTCCGCTACAGACCCTCTGATAAATTAATCCATCCGATAAATTTGTTGCTAACGAAAGAAAAGTATATCTCTTTATAATTTGCTTATCCCTTTTATTATTTGCTTTTGCCAGCATGTTTAAGAGATGCATAATAATACAACAAAATATAGCTGGGTTAGAAATATTTTTTTATTCAGTTTTAGAAAATTTAGGTATTTGTCAGCTAAAAACATCAGGAGTTTTAATTGATTCTGAAAACAAAGAAGGAAATTACTTAGAGCCTCTTATCTCATTCTATTTTTGAAGAGTATTGTTTTTAAAGGTAATATTAAAGAAGATGAAGTGAAAAAACAGATCCTGGAGTCAAGTGCAATAAAAATTAAAAAGTGAAAGCCGAATTACAAAATCGAATAAGAAAGTGAAATTAGATGAGAGTTGAAAAAGGCGGAGACAATTTTGAAAAAACAATCACATGAAGTTATGAATTGTGCTCCTCTTGGCGTATTTTAAAACTATTTCAGGCAAATATGTGGAATATATCGTTAATATATAATCATTTTATGGTTTAAAAATGTTTAAACTTTTTATATATTTCCCCCAGCTGTGATGGCTCAGGGGAACGAGCATTCATCTTTCAGTTGGGAGAAACGGTTTCGAATCCCAGCAATGGCTGATCGGAACGAATTCCACATCCGGGTTACACCGACCACAGTGCTGAGGTAAAATATCATCAGTGGGTGACGGATCATGAGTTAGAATCCCTTTGCCGTTTGGCTAACCATGGGAGGTCCTCGTGGTTTTTCTCTCCATATAACGCAAATGTGGGTTAGTTCCATCAAAAAGGTCCTCCACGAAGGCACTTTCTCCCAATGGTTGATCCAGGAATTTCATTGACTTTTGGATTGGGTTCAAAATTACAAGGCTATGGAGATGAACATTAGTAGTCGTAAACCCAAAATTAAGTCTGCTGTTCAACCGACGGTTATTAAATCAAATATAATTCCCCAGAAGATATTCAACTTCTAAGTGGATGCCATTTTGTTGCGACCAATGATATGTGAATGGGGATGAACGGATATGAAGTTGTACAGAACTGAAGCAATCTACTAAAAATCCTCCTGTAAATCGCAAATGTTCGATGGAATGCACTGACAATTTTTTTATCATTTTTTTTCACATCGTGATCTTTAGATGCTGTTTAGTAGTGAACTTATGAAATTTCACATTATTTCGTTTACCCTTTACACACAACCTTACTTTACTTGATTCTTCTGGATCCAACAAATTTACAGCTGTGAAGAAATTTCATTTGACGTAAAAAATACGATACAAATATAAAATAATTTTGTAAACAACAAAATACACCAAAGAGCCATTACATTTTGATCACCATGCTAATAACATGTAGGGCAACCTTCAGCCCTCAAAACTGCTAGCACCCGCCGTGGCATTGATTCCACAAAGTGCTGATTGGTAGTCTGAGGTATCTGGTACCAAACGCTCACCAACTGGTCCTGCAATTCCCTCACATTGCGAGAGGGTAGCGTGGCAGCACGAATTTGGTTTTCCAAGTAGGACCACAAATTCTCTATTGGATTAAGGTCAGGTGAATTTGGGGGCCAAGACATGACTTGAAAGTCACTGGAATGTTCCTCGACGATTTGACCCTTATGACATGGTGCATTACCCTGTTGGTAAACACCATCCCCCGCTGGAAAAACTGTTGCCATGAATGGGTGAACCTAGTCTGAACTATGTTCAAGCATCTTACAGACGTCAGGGATTGTTCTATGAGGATTATGGGTCCTAATGTGCCCCATGAAAACATTGTTCCTGGGCGAGAAATCTTGAAAATCTGGGCAAGCCCATTGTTATAGATGGAGGATGGTACTAATGTAATGGCTCTTCGGTGAATATGAAGTACTTTATTTTTCAATTAATTGAAGGTTTTCCTTTAAAAAAAACGTCCCCTTAGTACAGAACATGTGCAAAAAAACATCTTGATGGCATGAAAATAAATTACTTACTCCATTGCCTTCCTCCACAATCACATCTTCTTCCTGAGGATTTCCCATCCTCAATAGACTCTCTTGATACTTGATGCAATTCAACATTATGAGGTTTCTGAAACACGATTTTTGTAAGATTTTTGAATAAAAGTACTGATGGTTGGCAAATTATTGCCAACATTTTCATCTTAAATCTAGAATGACATTGTCTTTCCAGCTGCTAATGCTGTGAAAAATTATGTTAGAAAACCTTTCTAGCATATCTGATCTGTACAGTTTTTTCTTTCATTAGAATTATTTTTCATAAATTATGTAATGTGCATTAATGTAGATTATAATGAAATGACAGCACTTAAAATTTGCTCCCTTCTTGAAAAATACTGTTTTTTTAATATCCTCATAACAATTTTAGACCACAATAAATAGTGCCTCGCTCATATGTTTTAGTGATCTTCTGAAATTAAAGATAAAGTTTAAAACAAGTTTTCCTTTATCGTAAACAAGATAGAATGTATTGAATTAATTTAGTTTGCTAAAATTAAGGCCATTCAATTTTACTTAAAAATATTATTGTTGGAGTGTTCGATGGCTAGTTGTTGAAGGGGTTATATGAATAAAAAATAAATGATACATAGAAGCTATCTAAATTATGAGATCTTGTTTTGCAGTGGGATTATGCAGGTATATTCTGATCATTAAGGGATAGTCAGGTATAGGCAATCTTCTGAAACGATATGAAGAATTACACGTATTTTTTCCACTTCATTGCTTAGATTTAATTTATATCTATCAAAAAAATACTTGGGTTTTCTTATACGAGGTTAGAGTTAATCATGAGCACTTGTTAAGTGGTCTCTAATCAGCCTAATCAGGTCTATACCGGCCTGATTAGGCTTCATGCTCTAACGAATTAAATTTTATAATTTCACAAAATACAAATATCAAGGTGAAATCGCATAAATAAGAGAGACTTAAGAAAAGCAAAATATGAAATTGAAGATATTGATGTTATTGGTACAAATTAAAGAATGACTGATATAGAATAAACCTAGCATTTCTTAGCGTGTTTGGAGAAAATATCCTCTAAACATGCTTTTGAAGAGGATAGATGTCAAATGTTCCTTCCTAGTACTGCATTAAAAGGCCTGCTTTCATTATCTTAAGTACGACCTGGTAGTGTCTATCTTTGGCATGTAAATCGATAAAGCTCGTGGTTAAAATCTAGAAGGTAGGAGCTAGGCAGACGAAATAAATTAAATGAAAATTGAACACTTATTGAATGGCTTAATGTAGATAAATTTCGTGATACTGAAATCAAAAGTATTATTCTGCTTTTTTGAAAGACTATCTAGTGAACAGTTTTACTAAATAGCTTAAACATAATTTTAGGAATAAATATTCATAAAATGGGAGTAATGGGAAAATGATATTACTATTGTTGCAACGAACACAGCTTAATAATTCATCTCTTAAAAAAATTAAAAACTTTCAGTTCAGTAACAAATTAGCCAATTTAATTTGAAAATTATATTGATATTTGGATGCTGAAATTCAGTCGCGTCGTTAGCAGCGACAACTTGAAATAATGATTGGAAACATGATTAAATACAAGGTCTATATGCTTCTCTTTATGGTATTAAATAGCTTGCAACTAAAAATTTAACGAAGCTAATTAAGAAATTTTAATAAGTTCAATATTTTTAGCATATTAATATTTTCGTACGATTATTTTGCTCTTGCTTTATTCAACAAATGTGTGGGTGAATTTAAAAATCTTTTAAATGATTATACATCTGAGCATATTTAAATTATCATTTTATACAATTAAAGGTGGAAAAAAACATTATAATTAAGACATTTTAATTTCCGGGCCGAAACAGCGTAGTTAAAAGTTTTAAATCAATTATCTTAAATTTAGTTGCCTTAATAGTAATAATTATTGCAAGAAAATATATAATGCTGATTTCAACAAAAGAAATCAACTGCATCAGTTTGAATCACAAATGTCGTATCTAATAAAAATCGTAAAATCTAAGTTCTTTTTTTTATTATTTAATTAAATACTGCTATCAATTGTGTGAGAAAAAAAATAAATTATAAAATTCATTTTTGAATTAAGTTGAAAAGAGGAAAAAAACCTTTCATATATGAAGTTCCGTCTCTACTAATTGGAACATGAAATAACAAGGACATAGCAATAAATTTTTTCACTATTTGACGCTATCATTCCGTCCTGCTTTGGATGCAATTTTTCACATTTTAACTGACAACTACTTGAATTTTTCTTTAATTAGAATCCCGATAATAAATCAATTGTGATAATTACTCGGTTTTCATTGCTAAAAAATGAAAAATTTTTATTTACATTAAATTATGATATAGCATATTTACAATTTATTTCATTTTCAAGAAAATTAATTATATTAATTATATTTGACAACTATAAATTAATTATATCAGAGAGATTTTGTTTTTTAGTACAGAAATTGCAAATTGCAACTTAAAGTTATAAAAGTTTTATTTCAAACTTTAAAACCATAATGATTAAAATAAGTATACACCGAACTTAAATTTCAGTAATAAAATGACTTAAAATGCTTTAGATTTAAGGAAGGGTAAGTTCATAAATCATGAAGAGAGTGTTTTCATTCGTTAAAAAATGCTCATTAAATAAATATAATTCCAAGTGTAAAGTGATTTTGTTTGTTTATTTTTAACTCTATCGGTAGCAGAACATTTTTCTAAAACTGATAAAAATCATATGCAAAACAGTCTATTTTATTGAAGACTAGATCCTAGTCTCAATTTCCATTTCTCCCAGGTCCTTCAATCATTGGGGGAAAAAAAGCTCTTCTAAGTAACGTAGAGACCGGTGAAAATGAAACCCGGTTTCGTTTTTCGATTTCCCTCGGTACAGTTCCATAGAAATGGTCATGACGCCTTCAGGGTCGCCCAACTCATGCTTGCAGATTTCGCTAAAATAAAGGATTGCCTGCAAACGATATGCTGGCATTAAAAATATAAAATATAGGAAAAATTAGGAGGTTCTGTGAGAAGGATTGAAGCGTCGAGGTTTTCTTCGGTGTGATGCTAATTGCCCAACACATCCCCTTCGCTCTTATTAGAAAACTGGCTCACGTTCTTCTGAAACACCCAAATTATGCTGGTTAACCCTTCCAACTCATACTTGGTGCTCACCAAATAATGAAAAATGTCTGAAGTACCTAATATTCCCAATGATTGCCAAAATATGGGCATTTATTAATAAACACGCGGGAATAACAACTCGTGAACTTGTTGAGAGATTAAATTTATCGAATTCCACGGTTTATGATAAGGTTTAAGATGGTTTAAGAGGCTTCTGCCTCAGCCAGCTTAGATTATAGATTATATTTTTGATTATCGTTTACTGATGTTTTTTTCCTACTCAACAAACTTTCGATGATATGGAATTATTCGGCAGCACAATATCTTTCAAAAAGGTGGAGAATTTTCAGAAAGGTGGAGATTATTTCTTTAGATTAGGATAAAAAGCTTGATATTTTTTAGAAATTCTATAAAATTTTGCTCAAAACTTGGAAGTAAAAAAAATCTGTGCTTTGTGATTTTAATTCGGTAATTTAAAACCAGACGTATGTCTGTTTATTTATATA